GGGGCACACAGATTTATTAATCTTTTTACTGTTATGATCACGTAATAAACTATTAGTTCTATAGTGACTGAGCAATCAGTCCCTGTATTTTGACATAAAATAGTATTTTTAAAATTATTATTCTTATCTTTTTTTCTCTATTTCTATTTACCAATGTACGTATTTACTATGACTCATGATTTTTTTTTTTTGGAACAAAATTTGTTTAATTTGTTTATCTTTAGTTAATTAATTTTATACTCATAATTTTTATGGAATTGGGGCTGCTATCCATTTATTCTGAGATGTGATAATTGTTAACATGAGAGCAAGGAAATTTCAGGCAAAAGGTTTTATTTTCTACCGTATATATATCTTGGAGTGAAATTGTTTTGTATAACAAAGTAGGCAAGGAAATTTTATTATCATCTGTTCTCAAGAAAATAAAAGGGCAAAAGACAATACAAGATCTTTTCTTTATGACAGCTTTGATATCTCATGCCCTCGATGTACATTATGTGGCTATATTTGCAGTCACCCCTTATTTCCAATATCAAAGATAGCATCAAGTAGTGTTCCTGTCCGCCTCAGGGCCTTAACAGCCATATTCCTGTCTACATTAAGTTGCTTAATCAAGATGTCAATGTCAGTCTTATCAAGACCATCTTCACACTCACTTGCTTCTCCAAAAGCTAGAAACATAGCACCATGGGTTAAAAAAGCATTCGCATTTTCTGGAACTATCATTTTCCCCTTGTGAATAAGCTTCAGCTTTCCAACTGGTATCCTAAGAAAGTCAGATATTTGTTGGAAAGTTGAATTATTGTCATTTGGTTTCTTTACTATGTCAACTTTCTTTTTTTCTTTGTTGTGTCTTATGAATATAGTAACAGTTTCACCATTCCATTGTGAAATTCCTTGGATCTCATCATTGGTATCTGTTTTACTGGTGCAATTTTCTTTGGGTGACTCTTCCTCCGACTCCTTCTTTAAGCTTGACGACAATATTTTTCCATTATTTAGAATATTTTCTTGCTTTTTGTCAATATTCTGAAAATTTTCCATTTGTTGCTCAAGCTGTTTCTCATCATTCATAACTTTACTTGAGTTGCCATGGTTTTCTTTCACTTTATTCTCTTTTTCTTCCAGAATTTTATTTTGATAAATAATTCCTTTCAATGCTTTTTGTTCCTTTGTCTTAAACTTTACTTTTGTACACTTTTTCTTGTGGCTAGGCCAATCCTTTATTTGACATTCTCTTGAGCTATAAAAAATATTTTCAAAACTCAAAAATCATCTTTACAAGTGGGTCTATAATCACCTATAAACTGTTAGCTTATAAGCTTTCAAAAAAAAAGGTTTCAAAATCATGTAATAATATTATACAAACCAATAAAGGATTGCTCGACATTGAGTACACAGCTTCATAAACCTTACTGTCTTGTCACAGTATGAACACTTTAAAGTTTGAATGAGCATGAATGAAATTCAGGCAAGTTAAAACCGAGTCGTAGCAGCCAGCGGCTACCCACCCCAATAATATGCGGTGGGGGTGGGGGGTGGGGCGCGTTTTTGCTAAGGACTTAGTGGCAGCTTTGCCAGCAGTCTTGGTAGCTTTGGCTGTGAGCGTGCAGCAAAAAATTTTTATCCCGCCCGCCCACTCCTCTATTGGTGGGAGCAAGGTGAGTATTATTCCACTGAGTGGTCAGTGTGACAGGTACCAGGTGGTGAGCTGTGGCCCGGTCGCCATGGTTACCTCCGTGGTAGGGCGTAGTCTGATTGATGCGCACAGCTCGCACCATGGTACCTAACCCCAAACTTATCTAGACGATGAGTTTTAAGTGACAGTAGTTTGAGCAGGAAAAGTTCCACTGCAGTCCGCCATCTTGAAATACCCTGACGGGATATTGCGGGACAAATCCCGCGTTGGCGGGATCAAAAACGACATGCGCACCAGTGATCTGATTATTTTGGTTAGCTGAGCAAAATAAGCGAAGAAGAAATGGTTTGTACAGGACGTTATTGTCAAGACTAGGCGATCAAGTAATGGGAACAGAGCTCCAATGGTGAGTTAAAAATATTTTCAACATAGTGTTATAAGGCTTGACTTCAAATCTCTGTGTTTTTTTTGCAAAGGGTGCCAGCGCTTCGCAGCTCGAGAAAGACATAGGACAAGAATTCCCTCCAAACGAGCACTTCTTTGGCTTGGTGAACGTAAGGATTTCTCTTGAATTTCCACCTCTTTCTCTCGTTTTCTAGAACGAAAGTTCAACAAATAAGCCTTACCTTATGTTTTTTCAACAGTTTGGCAATACTTGCTACTGCAATTCCGTTCTTCAAGCACTGTTTTTCTGTCGGCCATTCCGTGAGAAAGTATTGGCGTACAAACCTGTGTCAAAGAGAAAAGAGACTCTTCTCACTTGTCTTACAGATTTGTTTAATAATATTTCCTCGCAAAAGAAAAAAGTCGGCGTAATTGCACCAAAAAAGTTCGTAGCCAGGCTAAGGAAAGAGAATGGTAAGATGTTTTTATATTGGATTCACTTAATTTGAACAATTAATAAATCCCAACGTCCCTGTCAATCTGTTGTTGCAACAAATACTTTAGCTTGGGGTCATTAAATTTCACCTGCAACGATTTTTATGGTATTAAACTTTTTTTGCACCTTCGTTTATAGGAAAATTTCCCTCATTTACTTCTCAAATACACCAAATCACAATTGCCATTTAAGACATCTATTTTTCCTTCTTATTTTGTATATATTATCCATATTCTGTACATGTATGTACTGTTTTACAAGCTACTAAAAATGTTTACAGTATTGATGTAAATACTTCTCAACAGACATCTTTGCTAAATTTATATTTTGTTTTCCAAGCACCATATATTTCTGTAAATATGATGATTTTTGTTGTCTCATTAGTCAATAGTTTTATTATTATTTTCCATTTTTTAAAAGCTTGAATCCCTTTGAACTTAAAAGTAATTTGAATTTTTTCAAAATTGACAGCAATTAGAGTTGTTACTAAAATAACTCAGATACGGTAGCACAGGTGGCGTAGCGGTGAGAGCGCTCGCCTCTCACCAATGCGACCCGGGATCGAGTCCCGCTGAGCTCGGTGTTGTATGTGAGTAGAGTTGCTTGTTGGTTCTCTCCTGTGCTTCAAGGCTTTTCCGGGTTCTCCAGCTTTCCTCCCTCTGCCAAAATCAACTCCTAAATTCCAATTGGAATTACAGTGGATGAATAGCTACTCTGTAGAAATGCCACTGTCAAATCCCATTTATTTTATTTTTATTTTTATTTATTTTATTAGTTATTTTCATATGAAAGTATTTTATATTCTGATAAAATATGAATGGGAGGGGATGAGAGGATGAAAAATGGAAAGACTGGAAGGGAATGAAAGAAAGTTACATTGTGTTATATTTAATGTGAAATGATGTTTGCAGATGGTTAAATTACTTCTACCATATATCGCACAACAGACAATACTGTAGATGTGATAACTAAAGTGTCTGTATTAGAGAGCTTTTAATATGAAAATTATTCAAGTCCTCTTTGCCTTGACAAGTCATATTGTTATTGACACAGTAAATTCATGGCATACATTCAAAATTAAGAAAATATGATAGAGATCAAACAATATATCCGTGAAACACTAATTACTAAATTGTTCAAAGTAGTGAAAACAAAACAAAGAAAACAATAGCATAAAATAGTGTAAGTTAGTATTACTAATATTTCACGGATATATTGTTTGCACTTTACCATAAGATTTTTTGTTTAGACTAAATCAACACCAAGATTGCATGAGCTAAAAATCCCTTCTTACTCTTGAATATAATATTATGTTATATATGTCATAATTAATGTTTATTGTTTTTGTACATTTTTCAGAGTTATTTGATAACTACATGCAACAGGATGCACATGAATTTCTGAATTATTTACTCAACACGATAGGTGACCTCCTAAGAGGTACTTCTAATGATTACTATTTATGAGTTTATTTGTTTTAATAACAACAAGAGGGTTTTTATTAAGGGTCAGAGATTGGAAAATACACCAGTTACTGACCAAAGTCCCGGGGGGGTACTCCCCTATATTTGCTATATGGGTATGTGCCGCCCTATAGGGTATGGTTTTTCGGCTTTTGGGTCTGGGGTAGGGTATCATTTTTTGACATTTTGTCTGGGGTAGGGTATCATTTTAGTCTGGGATAGGGTTAATGATTTGGTCGTTTTTGTCTGGCGAATAGGCTACGCTTTCTGCAGACACAAAAGCAATAAAAATATTAGTAAATATCGATTGCAATCGATTGTAAAACCGTATTTTCCATCTTTTAGTCTGGGATAGGGTGTACAATTCTTAATGTTAGTCTGGGAAAGGGTATGTAAAATCAAAATTTTAGGTCTGGGATAGGGTCAGGGTTTTGAGGTCCTGGCGGCACACCCCTACCCAAGTTGGGGTGGTAGTATCCCCCCCAGAACCAAAGTTCTCTGGCTTAAACTACCATGATCTTCCCCTAATTTTATTTTAAAACTAAATGAAAACGCTGTGGATTCTCCAAGATAACAAACATTCCTTTTTTCAATCAGGCGAAAAAATCAAAGATAAGGAAAAAGAAAAGCATAATAGCACAGGGAGCATAAGCAGCAAAAGCAGCTTGTCTTCAAACAGTACTGTAGGCTCCAATGGAACTGCAAACAATAATATATCCAGTGGTCCATTTACTAATAGCGCAAATCACTCCAGCACATCGTCAGACCATAAATTTGAACCCACTTGGGTTCATGATATGTTTGAAGGAACTCTGACGAATGAGACAAGATGTCTTTGTTGTGAAACAGTAAGTAATACAATATAGTAATTAAAATTAATTAATCAGCAGTCACTTTGATTATATGACTGTATTTATTGCTATAATATAATTTTATAAAAAAATATAATTGGTAAGGCCAGATATGTATTGTTTGCACCTGCATGTGATGACGATGATGACGATGATGATGACAATGGTAACAACGACAACAACGACAATGATGACGATGTCGATGATGATGATGACAACGATGACCATGATGATGACAATGATGATGATGATGATATGCATGATGATAATGATGATATGATAATGATATAGCATGTTGATGAGGATGATGATGATGACACAGTTATGTTTTCTTTTTCAGGTCAGTAGCAAAGATGAATCATTTCTGGATTTGTCTGTTGATGTTGAGCAGAACACTTCAATATCACACTGTCTCAGGTAAATTACATATTATGTAACAAATAATGATATCTGTCGCCAGTACATTACATATGTAATATATATATACAAAGGAGCAGTCAAAATCAACCTTCTCCTGGTTGGCACTGGACTATTGTGTAGGAGGTGGTGGGTTTGAGCCTTAAACTATCTAGTGAGTTAAAGGTGATGCCTTTAATCTGAAATTATCTTTAGACTTTTGCCATGGCTGATGTGGCTGATGTGGCTGATGGCACCATGGATGGACAAAAGTTTCTTAAATAATATTAATATTAAATAATATTAATTAATTATCCAAAGACTTAAATTCCCTAAACTTATTTTGATTTTGTCTATTAATTGACCATTCAGTAAACCATGAGAACATTCTACGAAGGACTAACGTCCGAAACTTCAGTTTCACAAAGCTTTTTATGGTGATCCAATTTATCTACAAGTTCCTAATGTTTCATGAGAACATTAATTTATTCCCAGGTCCACAGGTTTATTAGTGTTCAATCTAGTGTCCACTTTGTTTAGTGTTGAAAAAAAAGGTTGATTGATTGATTAATCATGTATTAGGCCAGGCAGTCAAATGAACTAACTTACATTGTGTTTGAGGAATTTTAGAGATTAAATTTCTTTCATTGACAAAATGATTATTTATTCAATTGTCAACAGGGGATTCTCCTCTACTGAAACACTAAGCTGCGAACACAAATACTTTTGTGAAACATGCTGTTCAAAGCAAGAAGCTCAGAAAAGGTAATTTGCATTACTAGTGAATAACTATTTCCTTAGCAGAGGGGGATTTGAACAGTTTTCAAAAAAAATAAGGGTAGGGGATCTGATTAGGATGAATTACATTAGGGTTTTCTTAATATAAATAGGGAAGTTGTGCATTAGTAGACACATAATATTTCTTCATTTCTGATCTTAAGTCATTTCCTGAGTATTGTTCCTTCATTTGTTGTTGATTGTTGAGAAATCATTACAAATACACAGATATATGAAACTCCAGGGGGGGAAAAATGGGAAAATATTAATGCGCAAACAAGATCAGTCTATTCTTCTAAATCTTTGGTAGCTAGAAATTTTCTAAAAAGTGCAAAAAAATTGTTATGGCAATTTTTAAAAGGCTTAATTTATATATTTATGTGGAATAAATTGACCTCTCTATTTTATGTCAATTTAAGGTTGATTGATTTTATTACATCAGTGATTATTGTTACTCAGATATGATTGTTTTTACTGTACAGAATGCGAGTGAAAAAGCTACCCAAATTACTGGCCCTTCACTTAAAAAGATTCAAGTATAATGAGACAATACAGAGATATTCCAAGCTGTCCTACAGAGTAGTTTTCCCCCTTGAATTAAGATTATTTAATACTGTAAGTATCTTGGTAAACCACTGTCAATTTTTGGATCTGTTTACTCTATTATTGCCCGGGGGGAGGGGGGGGGGTACTCTGCCAGAATTTGGGTAGGGGTGTTCCACTGGGATTCTGAAAGGAGTACCCTGTTTATGACAAAAAAACTCAAATTTGTAGACCCTGTTTATGACAAAAGATATAATTTATTGCTCTGAGTTCCTGTTTCAATTATCATGTCATCTCGCGTATCGTTTTTTACGACCATAATAACCAGTTTCGGTCAATACGAAAGTAGAAACCCTGAATATGACAGGAAGCTCAGGAAGAACTTGGAACTTGAGTGAAATTGCATACCCTGTTTATGACAAGAAGCTCGAAAAACCATACCCTGTTCAGCGGATCATCCCTGTATAGTCCATATATGGGAGTACCCCCCCCCCCCAGGGTATTATTGCTGCATTAGTATTTCTATTTCTATTGGAATGCTTCATCATTAATATCTGCAAACTGACATCAGTTCTTTATTTTCAGTCTGATGATGCCATTAATAATGATAGATTGTATGATTTAGTGGCAGTTGTTATTCATTGTGGAAGGTAAGATAAAAATGCAATTAAAATATTTTTCTCAAGTAAATAGATGAGTTTAAATTTTCTGTACCTTGAGCAAATTACTTATCCTCCAATATCTCAAAAGCATTTTAAAAACCCAGGTCAAAAAATGGAGAAAATAGGCAATGAAGTAAATGCACCAACGCTTAACAGCAATTTTATATTAATTCTGATTTCAGTAAAAACATGCTCATTCGAAAATTTCATTTTTCCTTTGGAACCTCTAAAAAAAATTAGCATTGGATTGTTTGCATCCGCATATTTGCAATTTGAAGTTGCATGGTATCGCGCGGATAATACCCAGTGGAGCCACCTTAAATATAAGCTGGCAATTTTCTACAATCAAATTTATTGCATGTACTTTTATTTATTGTTATTGATTGATTAATTTCTATTTGTTTTGCTACCAACAGTGGGCCTAATAGAGGGCACTACATTACAATAGTCAAAAGCAATGGTTTTTGGTTACTCTTTGATGATGACATAGTGGAGGTAACAATTTAAAACAAGAATAATAATAGTCTTTATTAAATAAAAATGAAATTTAACAGTGGAATTTCTACAGCCAGTAGCTCTTCATACGCTATCAGTGCAAAGTAGAATTTAGAAGTTGATCTTTGTTGAGGGAAAAAAACTGGAGAACCAGGAGAAAAATCCTTGAAGCACAGGAGAGAAACAACAAGAAACTCTACTTACATTTAACACCATTATGTGTTTATAGTAAATTATTGAAATCCTTTTTGAATCAAGTCAAACATAAAGTGCAAAGTCAAAAAATTGTTATTTTGGGGATCAAACCCTGGTTGTCTTGAAGAGGGGCAGGCACTCTCACCACTATGCCACTTGCCTTCTTGGCAGGTGATGTGATGATATTGATTAATCCATATATAATAATTATATATTGATCTTGTCTTCTCATTTCTTTTCTCAGAAAATAGAGCCACATACCATAGAGGATTTCTATGGCTTGACGTCAGATATCCACAAGTCATCTGAATCAGGCTACATCCTGTTTTATGAGGCTAGAAACTAAGACAGCAATAAATATTGACTAAGAATGACTTTTATGAATATTAATTTCAGATTAAGAATCATAAAATAATTAATTCTATCATTTGCAGTTGACATCAAAATGTTCTAAGGCCAAACAAAAAATAAGTGTGTTTCCTGTTGCATGAGAAAAATAATTGGGGTCGTTAGGCCAGATTTTTTTTACTGATACAAAAGTGGAAATGAGCTTACTAGGAACCCTGTGGTGCATCTGGGAATGAAAAAAATAATAGGGTCGGCAAAAATCGGCAAGAAAATTAGGGTCAGTCGCACAACAGGAAACACACTCTTATTTTTTTGTTTGGCCTAATAGTCTGCTAAAACATGAATGTAACCGGCAAGCCTAAGACATTTTTGGCATGGAGAAATAATAATCCAATAATCCACAGGATAAACAAAGCCCCTTCTATACAATCAGCTTTTGTTGCAATGTTTATGATCATTTGAGCACCAATATTTTCTGTGGCTTCAGTTCTCCAACTCTGTTCTCAATATGGAGTTGAAGTTGCAGCTATTAGGGGTTCTAGAAGCTCTTTCCTCCCCATTCCTCTTTGAGGCTCTGGAGCCCAAATTGCTGCTGATTTGTTTGCTCAAGTTGCCAAAAACATTGTACCAAGTGTTGTAATTTTAAGGTTTGCCTTGATGTAATTTTCTTAAAGACAATTTACCTAGAAATGAACTTCAAATCAAATCACTGAGCTCTGTTTGAAGTTTTTAATGCAGGTGGTCAACTGAATTTTTGGTTTCAAATGTTATCAAACCTAATGTTTTGGCAGAGCATTAATGAACATGTTTTGATGACCCCTGGGTGCAAATGCCTGTAAACCAGCAATACATATAAGCACATCATCATCATGAATAATTATGTCAGCATTAATAATTATTAGTAAATAAATTATTGATCTCCCGTGGTCCAGAAGATACAAGGGAGGTTAGAATGAAATTAGAGTTAAATGTCAAAAAGTTCATTGTAAAAAAATTGAAATATTCTATGTCTTACGTGCTTGTATATGTGATAAGGACTATGAAAACACTTGCAAAATAATATCTGTCATTTAAGGTTTTTTTTTTACAAATCGTTTGGGATTTTAGGCACTTTTGCTTGGCTCGTGATTTTTTTCTTAGTACTCCTTGCAGCAAAAGGTACTGACATAAGGGGTTGTTTCTATATATTTGACTGCGATACCTTTACTGTAGTATCCTTGAGATGGTATAGCCTCTTACACATTACAGTCCTTTTGATTGTTATACAACACTTCATTTCTCTCAGATCAATGTCTGTAGGATCACTCTATATACATGTACAGCATAGCATATTCAATTGTGCTTGCAATTTGAAGGCCGGATTTTTGCTTAGAAAAGCAAGTTGCACTTAGTTTGCATTTCAGGGCTAAACATTAATGGCTACTCAATCTGGACATGATGACTGTCCACGATGGACAAATCAACATGTGAATAAGCTGGCATTTGACCAGACAAGTGTCAACTTTGGCTGGCCATTGTCCATTGTCTGATCGTTATTTTTACCACTGCATGCACATTTAAAATGTATTCTCTCAAGGGGTTTGTGGAATAACCAGAGATGTTGTATCCTGTAAATTTTTCCTGGTATTATTATCCTATATAATCCTTTGAAATGAACTGTAGAACAATAGTATTTTGTTACATTAATAGACTTAAAAGACTGTGTGTATCATGTTATGCTAATGCAGAAAAATAAAAGATTTGATTGTAAGAGATGTTTTTCAGTTTATTATAGATTACTGTTGCTTACAGAGTGCACCATATAATTTGCTTACATGTGACTTTTTGGAGTTGACTGGGGGGCAAACAAGGGGTTGACTGAGGGGCAACTAGCGGATGTTAAGTCAAAACATGTCAAAATAAGTCCTCAAACTATTGTATTTGACTATTTTCACAACGTCAAACCAGAAAACAAGAGATCAAAACAACCTCCAGGATTCTACAAGCCATTAAAAACGCAGCTATTATCGGAAGTGATGTCTATTGATAGCAACCTATTCTTCTAGAAGATTTGATGTGTTCACCATAATGACAGATTGCACCTGCTCTTCAAATTCAATAAACTTAATGCAAACGATATTATAGGCCACTCTTTGTTTAAGATTTTTCCTCATTAGCATAAAAAATTCAAGCTACAAGCAAACCATCTCCAGAAATCGAAAGAGAATGTCTTATTTAGTAACTACTGAAAATTTGAGAGTAATAAGTTCAATATTAAAAAAACGTAAACAAAGATAGGCCTATAACTTTAACATTCTAGAAAAGTTGGGAACATCTAAAATACATTAAAACTTTGTTTACAAACCAAACTGCATTGTGGTTTAGTTTCACTATGGGTATCTTTTTTATTATGTATTATTGACCCATTTGGTTTGGGTGTAATATTTTCTAACTTTGTGTAGTTCCAGAAATCATTCATACCCACCCCACAGAGGAATTTGGAATTTTCCGAAGAGTAGGGGGATCAGAGAAAGAACAAAAATTACAGAGTTTGTACGGAAGAAAATTGGAATTTCCGGGTGGTAGGGGGTGTCTTAAAAAAATTCCTCCGTGAGGGGGTATGGATAATTTTTGGAACTACACATTACCTAATAAGTAAAATTCTTGAATTAAGTCACATCCATAAATGTATCGTTTCATATATTGCAGTTAAACAAAGACAGTATAACAAAAAATAATAGAGTGGTCTGAAAATGGGAAAACATGGCCAAGTTAAATGGGTCTATTTGACATCCATGTGTATGCTGAGCTTAATCTACAATAACACTGTGTCATTCAATCAAGGGAAGCATGTTTTTCAAGTTCTATGAATGTCTAATAATGTAGTGTTAATATCTCTAGTGAAGGAGTTTGTTTTTAATGATAGAGTGAAGTCATTAAACCCGTGAAATAGACATTAGGCTAACACACTTTAGTAGACCCTAATTCCATTGTTTTCTTTTGTATCTGTTTGACTATTACACGTAGACTATTAATTTTTATTTCATGGGCTAAATGCCTTCACTCTAGTAGCACTTGTGGCATTACTGAAGGTCTTCTATCTTTGGTAAGGGCTGTATTGCTGTGGGAAATCAAATAGATGCTTGTACTGTTCACCAGTGACGAGTGGAAGAAGGCCAGCAGTAGGGATAACATTCCATGACAAATACATGCTTACATTTTTTAGTCCCCTGAAAACAATTCAAGATTTAACAACATCAATAAATAACTAATGCTCAGGGTTTTCATTAAGGGTCGGCAGATTAGAGGATGTCAAATTACCAGGCTTAAATTACCATTAATAACTTAGTAATTTGTAATATGTTCACTTGGTTTCCAGGACTCTCTCGAAGTTCATGATCTTATGTTAATAATTTCAAAACTTAATTGAAAACCCTGAATGTGACTGGTGTCTTTTTTTAACTTATGAAAATCCAACCACTTTTTATTTCTTTATCGATTGCTACATTATGATTGGTTGACTTAAACGACGCATCTGTGCAGTAAATGCAAAATTGCTTACTTGAGACCATTCCCATCATCAAAGAAATAATACTTGGTGTTCATAGTGTTAAGCTTTATCTTCGACTTGTCTTCACGGAGAATGATCTTATCCCAAAGCACAACCTGGTTAAATTTCTGCAAAAACAAGAAATAAACTTGCATAAATTAAAATTTAGCATCCTCATTTCTTCTCTCACATTCACTTATTCTCTCACTTTTTTCTTCAAAAAAATTATCATGATAAAAAATATATACTCAAATTAAAAATGATAAATTTTATGTCCTCCGTATTCACTCCCATTAATTATTCATTTCCTTTCATTCTTTTCTTTAACCAATTATTATTGCAACGTTATAAATCCTACTTACATTATTTCTTGTTTCATATTCTGCAGTGAGATAAACAAACAGTTGTTTGGTGTTCCAGTTAAACAGCCTTTCAAAATTTAAGCATGGTTAAGGAAATGTTTTTAGGGACAACCTACATATAGCATACTTAGTTGATGCGATTCATTGTATTTTTATGAATACTCTCCCAAAAATTTTTATTCCTTTTTTCCATTTTATTTATTTGAACTTTTTTTTTCAGTTGCATTAACCCCAAGGGCGAAAGCACTCATCTAGGGGGCTACATTTTATTTAAGTTGCTTCTATAATTTTATAAAACATGACAAGACACCCAACTTGAGTCAACACATATCGTCAAGGTTGCTCAAAAATTAAGGTGAAAATTTGAAAGATGCAAAAGTCAGGTGACTTTCACAGGTCAAATGACAAGAAAGATGCAGTTTCAATCTATCATAGTATGAAGTAATGAGGGAACCTTTTCTTAAGCCAAGGTTAACCATGGGCAGATCCAGGGGGTGGATAGAATGGCTATAGTTACACTCCTACGGAGTGGGGGGAAAATAGGAAAGAATAATAAAAATCTAAAAGAGATGCTATTTGATGACTTTGTAGTAAAAAAGGTAACAGCCATCCTTGTTGAAATTATCCTGGATAAAACTCATTATTATCTAACTATTCAAATTAGAGTACAAATAATGCAGGAGAAAGCCTGTAGGGAGTTCAAATATTCTGCAATATTTGTACTTTAAGTTATTTTGTATAGTAAAAACTGGTTTTGAAAACAAGATCAAAAGAAAAATCATTTTGAAGCCTTTTTTTTGAGAAAAAAGTAAGCTCAGTTGGATAAAGAATGACTTTTTAGACATTTTAGGGTGGAATACCAGTGGACATTTATTCTCGGTTTTGTATTTTGTCGAGCCCAATAAGCACACTCGAAAAAATATCCACCCATATTTCGCCCTAAAATGTCTAATAAGATCTATTTATTACACATTTAGGGTCGATATCCGTGTGATAAAACCGTGAATAAAAACCATATCAGTGAAGTGATACTATATCACTTCACGGTAAACTGGAAACTGCAAATTTTGTCATTTTATACACCCTTAATGCGTAATAAACAAAATATTACATGTTAACAACCTGATATCTTAAATTTTCATTCACTCCTTTTCCAGATATGGAAACTTGTGAACAAAAATGATATCAAGCTCTTAACATGTAATCATCTCTATGTATCCATACCATAACAACTCTATTTGTTTCTTTGATTTTGCAGACAAAGCACAAACTTGACAAAATTCCTAGTCAAGGGGAGGAGGAATTTAAATAGGTCAGAGTCAAGTCCTGACTTTAGTTCTGGTATATAATAGAACTTTAGACCCAAGGGATGGAAATAAGAATATATGATTTATGCATATTGAAAACATTTGGACCTGATTGAATTGAAAGTGGTCATGGCACTACTAGTGGTGGTGGTAGTGGTGGTGGAGGGGGGAGGGGGGAGACGAGGGAGGATAGAGTTGTTTATGGTTCATACTATCTGAAATATTAAACTTTTAACTTGAAATGTATTAAGAGAAAGAAGGCTTTAATTTTTTGCTACGAGAAAAAAAGAAACCCTTCCAAATATATGCACTATTACTGTACTCAGTACTACAGTTTATATCAAGGATATTTGTCTGTACGTCGAAAGTCAAGACCCCAAGATCATTTTTAGAGTTGGACACACTGAAATCTTGAACATTTTTCCTGCAAAAAAGGTATCAAAATACAACATAAGTCATAATATTCGCAACAAAGGCACAAAGCAAGGCACAAAGCATCAACTGTAGTAGTACTCACACTTCGATGTTATCGGTCTTCAAAGTCACACGCACATGGTAGTCAAGAAAAACCGTCGATAAAAAGCACAAAAAAGTCAAGGCCGCTAGAACAGTTAGTGTAAAAGCAAATATCGTATTCAGTCTAGAAAGGAACGTATTCATTGTGCTAAGATCTAAAGAGAAAGTGGGTCATATGTTGGTAAAGTTTTTGTCTTTTTTGTGTTCAACAGATAGATTTGGCGAAAACCTATTGGCTGTCAGCCTGGTCAGTCGGTATCCCCTTCAAAATATGCGTCACGCAAAACACAGGGACCCCAAGCAAAGTAAGYATTTGTAAACTTCCAAAAAATATATGTATATGATATACTTAATTACATATGGTTAGCCTGTAAAAAAACTATAGGTCTAACACAAAAAGCAAAAAGAACGGCATTCACTCTTTCATACAACAATTTAGCGATATTATTGATTTTTAGAAAAAAGAAAATCGGGGTTCCTGTGGTATGAGCTAAAGTCAGATGGCGGAGATAGAGAAAGTTCCTAAAAAAATGTTCTCTCCAAAAAGTACCATATCTTTGGACGAAATGTTCAGTCAAGCAGCTCTTGTATTCCCCGATAACCTAGCTGTGACATATATTAATGAACTTAAACAAGAAGATCTAACTTATCAGGAAGTAGACAAGAAAGCTCTTCAAATCTCATCCTACCTCAAAACGTTTTGCAAACTCCAGAACACTGTTGTTGGAATATATACCAGGATAATGCTTGGTTTTATAGCTTGTATGATTGGAGTTTTACGAATTCCAGCAGCCTTTGCACCTATTGGTTTGGACTGGCCTGTTAAAATGGTAAAGCAATTTATTGAAACTTCTGGTGTTAATGTTGTGGTAGTGAACGTGGATTTGCTTGAAAAATTTAATCAAGTTCTCAGGCTGTTAGAGGGTTCAAATAAAACCTTCAGACTGATCACTGAGTGTGAGGTTCTCAAATTGAATGGCTTTGTAGTTGCTGTAGCAAATGAGCCAATTGTTTCACCTGATTATGAACAGTCTTTGGGTTATGTCATGCAAACGTCTGGAACCACAGGGAGCCCAACAGTAGTCAAAGTTCCACATGCCTGTATTGTTCCCAATATAACTAGCTTGGCTAAAATATTTGGAATGACTGATAAAGATTCTGTAGCTGTTGTTTCACCTTATACTTTTGATCCATTCATCGTGCAAGTTTTTCTTGCTCTGTCCTCTGGGGGTCGAGCTGTGGTTGTATCAGATGCTTTCAAGCTGCAGACTGGAAAACTTTGCCAGATACTGTTTGATGATTTGAAGATTTCTTTATTTCAGGTGAGTACTTTGAGCAATTTCAGTAAAGTCTGGAGCTCCATATGCTTTAAAAGATAACTTTATCAAAAGAGGTGGGTAGTGTGGTTGCCCCCATAATTTTGACTAAAAACCATAAATTTTCCTTTTTCCTCGGTTTTGTTCGACCACCTATGGATTTGGCAGGAATTTTTGCTCTAAAATGCCTGTGCTCCCCCTCCAAATCTGGTACGCACGCTAGACATAGGCCACTGGTGGTGTGGAAGGGGTGAGGGGAATTTCTGTTCCTGGATATTAAAGTGTCTTTACTAGCTCTTGGTTTTTGGGCATTTTCAAAACTCACTTAATTTATCGTTTGGTGCCTTTTTTGTTTTATTCAGCCAACACCATATCTTATGTACTTAATTGGCCAGGAAAGAATAAGAAGGAACATCCTTGGACAACAATCTCCRTTGAGAATTCTAGCTTTTGGTGGCGAGTCTTGTCCTACACTTTCTGTCCTACAAAAGTGGAARCATCACAATTGTGAAACAAGGCTGTTCAATCTGTATGGTATAACTGAAGTTTCAAGTTGGGCTTCATGTTTTGAAATAACAGATAAAGAATTGAACGATAAGGACACAATTGGTTCTAGAAAGAGGGTCGTAGTTGAAGATGAAGTGATGGATATTAATGAGGACAGTGTACCACTGGGCTTCCCTTTAGAGGACACTATCCTTGAAGTGAGGGATGAGAATGGATTAAAGATAGATGAAGGAGTTGGCTGTATATTTATTGGTAAGGCTATTGCTTGGTTACACTATTGCAGAAAATGATAAGAAGAGAGATCACAGATCTTTTTAAACACAACAGGATACAGCATGTATTTTTACCAACAAAAGCATCACTTCATGCAATGCTAGTCAGTTGGGATAGTACGATTTTGTCTCAACTTGTATTAGAGCACCATTAATCTTAATCTATATACAGTATCTGTAGCTAACATGTTAGCCGTACCAGTATAAAAGCCAGCTTAGTAGTGCTGGTGCAGATTTTTTGCTTATCCTTTTTTTACTTTCTTTACAAGGTGGACGAAACAGAGTCTGTTACCTTGGCAACGAAACTTCCTTCCATCCAGGTACCATGCGATCAACTGCTGATCTTGGTTACATCGAAGAAAACAAACTATGGTTTATTGGACGCAAGAACAGAAGCATTAAGAGACAAGCCAAAAACATAAGTCTAGATTGGTTGGAGCGAAGCCTTTCTAAGGCCTTTCCTGACTTTATATTTTGTGCTGTGGCAGATACTTTGTCAGATGCTCCACAAAATGAAATATATCTGTTTGTGAAACCAGAAACTTCGTACAACGAAAGACCGTTCCTAACGTCGTTAAAAAGGGAGCTTCGCGAAGCTTTCCCTCCTTATGCTTGCCCTGATTATGTCGGCATYGTAAGCACAATACCTTTGACTTCGCACGGGAAAGTCGACACGAGGGCTTTGCTTAAAAATTGTCGAGAAGAAAAAAATTTAAGTTTAGGGGAATCAGTTGAGGAAATTCTGAAAAATATATGGTTGAATGGAATTACGCTGGAAGACGATTCTACTGTGGCTTCTTCAAAGAGAGGTGTTTACGGACCAGGAGAACAAGGGGATCAAGCGAATACTAATCGTTCTACCCTAGACATGCCGCCACAAGTGGAAAGCGAAGACATGTTTGTTGAACATGGTGGATCTTCGCTTGCTGCATTGAGAGTTGCTAACGAAATCAAAACATGGTTTCATCAGGATGTAGGATCACGAGATGAAGAACTATCAGAACTTGTTGATGTTATTTTAAACAGCTCGTTTGGAAAACTCTGCGCGTATATCAAGGCAAGAGTTGCGGATAAAAGCTGCAATCGTGAGGGAACGATTGGTGAAAACATGGTGGAGAATACCAGTGCTAGTCAAGGCGATTTTCATTTGGCTTCTGCAGATGAAAATGAAAATTCATCCGAGTTTTGTACACGGATTGGAATAACTTCAAAGCCATCCAAGAACAATGATGACAGAGAGGTGAAAACGTCAGTTTCGCTTAAGAGGAGAAAGATCGAAGATAATGGTAAGCATACACATCCAACAGAGGCTGCTACTGGCAATTTTAGTTGTTTTTGTTCCATTCAACGAGGCATGCGTGCGACAACTTGCTCATCTTGCACGGCATCCGGAATACACGGTGGCGTAGAGCATTCCCAAGGGGCTCTCGAGGCTAGCTTATCTTTAAAGTGGAAAACCAACTTCCATAAATGCATAGATGCTTCTCCTCTGGTGGTCGGTACGAACGATAAGGACTTGGCGGTCGTGTATTTGGGATCCCATGCTCATGTGCTCAAGGCAGTTTATCTAGCTAGTGGTATGATTTTGTGGGAAACATGTCTTGGTGACAGGCTAGAGTCGTCAGCTGCATTATCAAAATGTGGTCTTTATGTCATTGTAGGTGAGTACTGGCTTATCTATCGATAAAATGCAGACTTTGTGAAGGAGGGAGGGAGGGAAGAAGAGAGGGAGGGAGGGAAGAAGAGAGGGAGGGAGGGGGCGGGGGAGGAATGACGGACAGCAAGAGTGACGTATCGGTGCTGATGCAAACGCCTTCCGCCTATAGGGTCCTGGGTCCTGGGTTCTGGGTCCTTTCGGGTAATCTTTTCTTTGATTCGAGGATTTCTTTTGGAGTCCAACCTAGATATTATATCAATAACTAGATGTTACTGTGTCGAGTTACTGATGTCTTTGTTACTAGATTAGAGTGGATATAAACTATTGTATTCTTTTCCCGTTCAAGGATGTTACGATGGCAAGGTTTACGTACTAAACCGTAGCAACGGACACGTTGTCTGGACATATCAAACTAGTGGGCCAGTAAAAAGCTCCCCCTGTGTGGACCCCTCCACGAGGCTGGTATGGATCGGATCACATGACCACCATCTGTACGCGCTTGATGTCAATCAAAGGGATTGTATCGCTTCTATTGATTGTGGCAGTTCTTGCTTCAGCTCGCCTTGGATACTGCATAATCCTCACTTGGTATTCATTGGTACCTTAGGGGGACGACTTTTCTGTGTGGACGCTTCAACGCAATCAATTAAATGGAGCAAGCAGTGCCCTCAGCCTATCTTTTCGTCGCCTCTAGCTACGTCTCAGGCAGTAGTTTACGCATGCGTCAATGGAATAGTTTACTGCTGTGATCTCGATAGAAAACCCCTATGGGAATTCAAGACAGGAGATCCTGTATTTAGTTCACCGACAATGTTTTGGTCTTCTGTAGCGAATSAAAGCAAAGGCTACGTCTTGTTCGGTTCTCATGATGGGTTTGTTTATTGCCTCTCAGATTCTGGTGAAATGAGATGGAAGTTCAAAACAGATTCTCAGGTCTACTCCACGCCGTTCGTTGCACCAGTTGTCCGAGAATTGAAGAAACCTTCCGAGGTCACTGATAAAATCATGAACTGTTCGTCACACTTGCAAATGGACATTCCTGACATTAAGATGTCATCAGAACACGCTCGAAACACTTCTGGATCTACGATTGAAGGAAGGGGTGTGATGTCCTCTCGTAATGACCCCGTCGTAGTAGTCTGTTCTATTCAGGGTACGATCTACTGCCTTTCCTTGGATGAAGGTCATCTTGTTTCGTCTTGGTCCTTCCCTGGTCAGGTGTTCTCTTCACCAATCTTAGTTGGTAACGATATTTTGGTTGGTTGTAGAGATGATTTTTTGTATTGTTTGACAATAAACTGAGTAACAACACTCAAATAATAACTCCCGGACCATCTAATAATCCACTGATGTYACAGTTGTGTGGGCAGCCATTAATTATTACATTGAGGTCAGTGCACGTGGYCAGGAGCGTAAACCAATCCTATTTTGCAGTTAGACTTTCAGAAGGCAGTCACAGCAGATGAGAGACCTCTAGGATTAGGTTTACCGCTAGGGATTAGGCCCAGAAACACGGAGAATGAACACTCAGCAACAATGAAATTCTATATGGCGACCCTTCCAGCAACAACTTCGTTATGACGACTTGCTGAAGGTCGAAAGCTTGACGGGAAACGCCTGACGTCGAACTGCAGTTTGAGGTTTGCGGTACCCGCTTCCAAGAACTTCTAATTACTGAGATTTCACCTGGGCTGGATATTCTTTTCCATTGCTGTTTTCCTGCGAACCTGGCAAGCCCAACGTGAACCTTTATTTCATGAAGATTTGAAGCTGTCGTCAAACCGATATCATTCAACTTATTATTATTTCATTATTGTTATCATTCATATGATAATTCATGAAAATTTCAAGCAGACTTTCATCACACTGATAACATTAAAAATGAATACCATTGTAAGTTCAACCCACACTTGCAAACCGTTTTATTACATTAATACTCGTGGCTTTATTCAAATCAATTGTGATAAAACTTATTGAAGCAACTTATATTTTAAACATAAAGTRATAAATAATACAATTTTCTATCTTTAGTCCTATCCGCAGTTGGAGCACGAGGGTGGCTTTCCCCAGACCGTAGACTGAATCACTTAACTAAACTAGTTAGTAAACTAATAGAGGGTTAATAAATCTTATTTCAAGGGCGGATCCAGGATTCCTAGAAGGGGGAAACTATTACAAAGTTTTACCAGGAATGYGAGGAATATACTGAAATTTTTTTGAAAAAGGGCGGTGACTTGTCATCTATTTTACCACCCCTGGATTTTCCTCTGTACTTTCATTGTTTTATTCTAGAWACTGTTTCACTGTCTAGGGAAAATCCCTCTTATAAAGGAAGGCGTGTAGTAGGATCGTGATTCACCTCTTTTTACCGGCCACTTGACAATTCCCTGAAGGTGGCCACTAATAGCGGTTTTACTATTAATATTTGTTCATAATTAAGTTTCCTGCTCGATCATTTCGAGTTTTGTTAACATAGTCCAACATTTTCTTGGAATAAGTTTGTCATCTGTACTTTTCCTTTGAGTCATTGYCATTCTGAAGAAATCCAAATTTGGCAAGGTTTCTTTCTCATCTTCATCTAATGGGGCCGTCAGTAAAGAGAGATGGTTCTGTTTATACACAATAGGTTAAATACACCAACAAGTCACGTGGTCTACCTCTGTTGGATGTCATGCATGGACATCTTTTGGGTTCATATCTCATATACAATTCTACTTAATTTTCTTAAAAATAGCTTTGAAATTGCTAGATTAATTTTATCGTTTGTCAGTTTGCCATATCAAATTACTTCCAATTTCCATCGAAAATTATAGCGAAAAAGAGCATGTGATGTGTTGGAGGGAATGTCTTTTCTTACGTAGACAAGTCTCTTCGTCCCAGAGTTTGACTTTGTATTATACCATTGGCATAATATACTGGCCAGGGCAAGCGTCTTCAGTGTAGARGACACGCCCAGTCTGACCAAAAGAAACCCAAAGCTGGGGTATTGAGAATAGGGCTATAAAACCTACTGGATGGTTTTTTGGTGCAGCAGAATGATAACTGTTAACTACAAACAGACCATGGTGAARGTTTGCATTCATGATATGAAATCTCTCTACCAGCCAAGTTTTTGACTAGGAAAAAGACTGGATGACAGAAGCAAGATAATTAATCAAGGAAAGAAATTATTACCAACTACAGAATAAAAAATCAGATTATTGCCACAAAAAATCAAAAACAAAACCAAGTTTAACCGACACACACAAACATACACACGAATCAGTATTATCACATGCTGCACCAAAGAACCCTAAACATTGCCGTCTCTCTTTCATGAAGCCCGAGGCCGAAGATGAAGATGTACTGTAAGTCTCTCCAAACCAGCTGGACTGACATGTGACCTGGCGACCTGATGTGAATGCATTGAAGTTCTTTGGTGTTGCGCTTAGCAAGCCTCAGTCTTCAAGAAAGAAAAAGTTCCCACCCCGTTTTTGTTCCACATCCTACAGGAGAAAAGAATTAGAAGTCAGGGACCTGTGAGTAAATGAATGAGGGAAGGGGAGGTATGAAGAAGGGTGCGAAAAAAGGCTAGCTATGCTTAATATGAAAGAAATCCCCCATTTTTAAATGGAATTTGTGCCATTTATTTTTTTCGGTCTGGTGTCCTAAAAATTGTGTGTTCTGATTGGATATTTTCTATCTTTGACCACATTCTTGTATTCTGGGATATTGGATTGCTAAACAACAAAATTGAAAAACTAGTGGAAAAGTAAATGCGAAAAATTATTTACTGGCCTAAAATCAGTTTGGATAGTGAAATACTGTGCCCTTTATAGCAGGCTTCGATAAGAAATCTACAATGCCAGCATTGTTTTCCCTTTACTAAAGGTAATTATATATAGTAAAGTTAGCTAACTAAGTATTTTGACTGAATAAATGAACATTACCTTGACTGAATGGAGCTTGTTGATTCGAGGCCTGAAGTTAGTTGGATCTCGTCTGAATGTGATTTCTAGGGATTCCAAGAATCTGTTCATACCAGTTAACAATGACTGGGGACTGAAGTGGAGAAAAGATGGTTGTCATTCACACAATGTCTATATTTATAGTTTGAAATAAATATGATGATGAACACATGTCACATGGTACACTATCTACTGTATCTATTTATTAGTTCAAGAATCCAACCAAGACACTGAAGGTGAGGGAGAATTACACTAGCTACTGCTACACCAGTTTGCTACACCACCCTTGATAACCAAATTTAGATTAGCATTAATCAAGAATTGGAAAAAATTCCATACTTCTATGTTTTAATGGTTGATTAGTGAGTGGACTTCACAACCAAAGCTTCCAACATCTCACAAACACTGCATTTAACCAAACAAGAGTGGGTATCTGAGAAATAAGGTTTGTATCAACATTATGTACATACGTGTTAGCCATTGTTTTGACTGATGGTGTTCCCTCAAAAACAATCACACGATCTGCAAGGTATGTAGCCATGATGAAATCGTGCTCAACCACAAACCCTGTCTTCTTGGCATGCAGGATAAACCTGGAATACAAAGTAATGATAAAAGGGTAAATTATACACCGTGAAAAGATGAAAAAACTTACTGAYGTTTYGGACGATAGTCCTTCKTTGGAGTAAAAGAGAAAGGTGGTAAAAAGGAGTGTTTATATAATGAGAATAAGACAAAAGAAACCAATGAGAACAAGGTAGGCAAGGAAAAACCAAATACAAAGAAATACAAAGGAAAGGTTAGATAGGATCTTGGTCACTATCCAGTATACAGCTATTTAAAAAAAGGGTTGGTAAAGGGTTTAATGCATGTTTCATATCAAGCCCGAAATGCAATATAAGCAATGTGAATGCCATAGACTGCTTTGGCGATACAAGAGGCATCTTGATCCAGGAGTCAACTATATTAATAATGTGCAGCTTGATGAATATATTTGCTATTAAGCAAGGCTAAACCTGTGCAAATGGGCCTGTAGTCAAGGAACACAGTGGTATTTACTGAATGAGGTCTATTTTTGTGCTCACCGTTTGATGACTTTGGCTGCCATTAAACGTTGTTCAGAGTCAAGGTAGGCAGAGGGTTCATCAATCAAATACACATCAGCAGGCTGTAAAAAATATTATATTACTGTTAGTACCAATGGGATCTAGCAGTCTGAAGTGGAGGAAATTGACATAGCTACCCCTAATTTATAAGGATAAAATATATGCCCTACCCTTCCCATTGATGATGTACCATTGAAACTGGTTTAAGCGCTGCCCCTGATTAAACGCCGCCCTCAAATAAGCACCCAACCCAGGACCAAAATTATTAATAATCACCGCCCCTAAATAAGCGCCACCTGTATTAATAATTGTTTACAAATCATGAATGCAATAAGCGCCACCCTCGAATAAATGCCGCCCCTGAATTAACGCAGCATAAGAAACCCAAAAAAGTAATAAGCGCTGCGGTGCTTAAACCAGTAAATACGGGTATGGACACATGCACACTTACTTTCCCAGGGTCCATTTTCTTATTATTGATGGACAAAAGTCACTACCCTCCTTTCTTCACCCTCCCCTCCCYTCTCAAAATATCAATACAAGTTGCCTACATCAATTTTCAAGATATCATTTTTATCCATGTTAATGACATATTACCTTTCCAAGACAAATGGTAAGTGCAACACGCTGCAGCTCACCACCAGACAAGTTGAGAACCTGAAAGTTTACGGTTCGAATTCATTAGTAGAAGGGCGATTGAGGGGGTGATTGGCTGTATAGCCATACCCCTTTGGACTTGAAAAATAATAAGAGCAAAGGATAAGAATTAAAGTAAAACTTATGGAGGATGCTTTTGTAGGTAACAGTCACCAGTCACAAAACAACAGGGCCAGGTTGCTCCAAGCTGGATCAGCGCTAATCCAGAATTAACTCTATAGGTCTTATTAAGAGTTAACCCAGGATTAGCACTAATCAGGCTTTGAACAACTGGGCCCAGCAGTAATCYTTTGAAACCTTTAGTTCAAAAAAGGGTGCAAGGGGAACATTTTACTGCTATGCCACCATTGGCCACTTGGAACGAGTTTTTAGAATTAACCTAGTTAAAAAATTGACTTTGACACTTGTACMCTTTGACAAGAAAGACTACATCAAAATTAGTGAATTTCTAGATTTTCAAGATTTTGGGTTTCATACCTTTCGTGTAGCAACCTCCCAAACATCTCAAAAGTTATTACAAAGAATGTATAGTTACTGGGGACGCTTGTCCCTAGCAAACACATTTCTTTGTAATTTTTGATGTTTTTGATTGCTTATAGTTTAGCTGTTACTTACCCAATCAAAGCCATACTACAGAAACCTGTTACTTTTGATATGCTCTTTCTCGTCATGGAAATATTTTAAAAATGAGATTAATTATCAATAACTTCTATATACTCGTTCCTAAAGTGGCCTATTACATGTTTCAATATTCTGTATAAAGAGAAAAAGGTGCACTTTACCTCCTGGTCCATGATACTCTCAACCTGCAGTGGCTTGATCACGTCTGCAATGAACTGTGGGTGAATATACGAATCCCTGATCTTGGTGTGTAAGAGCTGTCGGACTGTACCACTTGATTTTGGACTGATTTTTTGAGGTTTGTAGCTGACATTCAGTAAGGGCACTTCCTCTGTTGAAAGAAAATGATTTGCTTTATTAAACTCAAGAGGTTTAATCTTAGCATAGCTAAGTTTACTAACTAAGTATATATCGCTAATCATCACCRCAAGTACAGCAGAAGCCAAGCTTAATGGAGCCGACCTGAAAGCAATGTAATGGCTCTAACCAGTTTGAATTAAATTAAGGGGTTTTTGTATGTAGGTGTCATTAAATGAGATAAAAACAAGCACTGAAATAAACAAGAAGTCATTTACTACCACATGGTTGGCTCAGTTGGTCGAGCATCTGAATGTTGTKTGAGAGGTTCAAGCCTTGATGGCCAGATCAACACTACAGGGTCTTAAAATACTTGAGGAGAAAGTGCTGCCTTTGTAATTAYATCTACTGTACAAATGGTTAGGCCTGGATGTGGCTTGGATAACCCCTTTAAATGGCAGTCCCCCCTCGCCACACTTCATCACTACTAACCAATATCAGRGGGAAGTACAAGAACCACTGAGGACATTAGAAACCCTGGGCGTGATCACCCTCAGTGCCTCACCTAATAYTAACCACCTCATGATYGTAAACGCCTTTGAGTATTTACATAGAAAGTGTGCTATATAAATCATAATCATTACTGTGCTGATACTCCAACCTCGACAACAATGATGAATTAGTATCATTAACCAATCATATTGTGACATTCACTTCAATATTTTCAACTGGCCAATCAGATAGCGCATCAATATAATAAGAGCATGAGAACGTGATAATCTGATTGTCTGACACTGTTATCAGTTCAATTTCTGTCTAGTTTACCGTTATCTGATTGGTCAGTTTTAAACCACCTACTATCATTATCAGGAGCCAACTTTCCAGCAAGCATTCTAATGAATGTGGTCTTTCCAGTCCCTAAACATCAAAAATAACAAGCAAAATTGGTCATTATGCTCAATTGTTGTATCCCCTGTACCCCATCCATTATCAAGATTGTACACCCCCAACCCCACTAAACATCAAGATTGTACCCTTTTACTCAACCCATCATCAAGATCGTACCCCT